GAGTAGCGGATGTGACGACCGGGTACAGAGTAACAAAAACTAAAGGTTGGAGTAACGTATGTGAGATAAACCTTCGGGTACATAACTCTGACAAAGACAGGGGTTACATATGTGAAGATGAACCTTCAGGTACATAATTATAACAAAGGAGGTGGTTCAGGTATTGATGATGAGTGTTCGAGTTCAGAGTAACAACAAAACAAAGGAATTATAGATTTTATGTGATGATACTGAAATCCCGGTTTCCAGTACTCATTGTAACAAGCTGTATGTGAAACAGAACGGTAAAAAGTGAATGTGAGTCAAGATGGTCCGAGCTATATAATTAATCGAGAAGATGGTTAATTATGATACTTTTACATGTGTCACATTAAAAAATACATGTCTAACCGAACGACGATTGTCAAGCTTTGTAGTATGTGAAAATGGTGTCTGATCGCATTCCGTGTCAATCGGGAACCGTCGACACTCTCCGTAAACGAGAAAATACGGAAATTACCTACGGTTCCCGATTGATTCCATGTAAGCATGTGATTTTCTTCTCATTGTATCCATTGCTTCCCTTTGTTATTATCATATGACCTAGAACCCTATTGTGTACGACAGCAATCCACTACAGAAATAAAGTTCCATTGAATGCAATCACTTGAGTAATGTTGTGATTTTTTTTCTGGTTTACTGACTTGATTCAATCCCTACTTCTGTCGCTGGTGTTTCCCGTGCTCAGCTGATTCTCACTACCACTTGTGTGATACAAGGTATATTCCTCTCGTGCTCGGCTGATTCTCACTACCACTTGTGTGATACAAGGTATGTTCCTCTCGTGCTCGGCTGATTCTCACTACCACTGATACAAGGAATGTTCCTCTCTTGCTCGGCTGATTCTCACTACCACTTGTGTAATACAAGGTATATTCCTCTCGTGCTCGCCTGATTCTCACTACCACTTGTGTAATACAAGGTATATTCCTCTCGTGCTCGGCTGGTTCTCACTACCACTTGTGTGATACCGGGTAGGTTCCTCCCGTGCTCGGCTGATTCTCACCACCACTTGTGTGATACAAGGGATCTTCCTCTCGTGCTCGGCTGATTCTCACTACCACTAGTGTGATACCGGGTATGTTCCTCCAGTGCTCGGCTGATTCTCACTACCACCCGTGTGATACAAGGTATGTTCCTCCCGTTCTCGGCTGATTCTCACTACCACTAGTGTGATACCGGGTATGTTCCTCCAGTGCTCGGCTGATTCTCACTACCATTTGTGTGATACAAGGTATGTTCCGCCCGTGCTCGGCTAATTCTCACTCCCCCTTGTGTGATACAAGGTATGTTCCACCCGCGCTCGGCTAATTCTCACTACCACATGTGTGATACCGGGTATGTTCCACCCGTGCTCGGCTAATTCTCACTACCCCTTGTGTGATACAAGGTATATTCCTCCCGTGCTCGGCTGATTCTCACTAGCACTTGTGTGATACCGGGTATGGTCCTCCCGTGCTCGGCTAATTCTCGCTACCACGTGTGTGATACAAGGTATGTTCCTCCCGTGCTCGGCTAATTCTCACTGCCACTTCTGTGATACCGGGTATGTTCCACCCGGGCTCGGCTGATTCTCACTACCACCTGTGTGATACCGGGTATGTTCCTCCCGTGCTGGGCTAATTCTCACTACCACTTGTGTGACACCGGGTATGTTCCTCCCGTGCTGGGCTAATTCTCACTACCACTTGTGTGACACCGGGTATGTTCCTCCCGTGCTGGGCTAATTCTCACTACCACTTGTTTGATACAAGGTATGTTCCTCCCGTGCTCGGCTAAATCTCACTACCACTTGTGTGATACCGGGAATGTTCCTTCCGTGCTCGGCTAATTCTCATTACCTCTTGTGTGATACAAGGTATGTTCCGCTCGTGCTCGGCTGATTCTCACTACCTCTTGTGTGATACAAGGTATGTTCCACCCGTGCGCGGCTAATTCTCACTACCACTTGTGTGATACAAGGTATGTTCCTCTCTTGCTCGGCTGATTCTCACTACCACTTGTGTGATACCGGGTATGTTCCTCCCGTGCTCGGCTAATTCTCACCACCACTTGTCTGATACTGGATGTGTTCCTCCCGCGCTCGGCTGATTCTCACTACCACTTGTGTGACACCGGGTATGTTCCTCCCGTGCTCGGATGATTCTCACTACCACTTGTGAGATACCGGGTATGTTCCTCCCGTGCTCGGCTAATTCTCACCACCACTTGTGTGATACTGGATGTGTTCCTCCCGCGCTCGGCTGATTCTCACTACCACTTGTGTGATACCGGGGATGTTCCTTCCGTGCTCGGCTAATTCTCATTGCCTCTTGTGTGATACAAGGTATGTTCCTCCCGTGCTCGGCTAATTCTCACTACCACTTATGTGATACCGGGAACGATCCTCCTATTACCACTTGTGTGATACAAGGTATGTTCCTCCCGCGCTCGGCTGATTCTCACTACCACTTGTGTGATACAAGGTATGTTCCTCTCGTGCTCGGATGATTCTCACTACCACTTGTGAGATACCGGGTATGTTCCTCCCGTGCTCGGCTGATTTTCACTACCGCTTGTGTGATACCGGGTATGTTCCTTCCGTGCTCGGCTAATTCTCATTACCGCTTGTGTGATACAATGGATGTTCCTCCCGTGCTCGGCTGATTCTCACTACCACTTTTGTGATACAAGGTATGTTCCTCTCGTGCTCGGATGATTCTCACTACCACTTGTGAGATACCGGGTATGTATACAAGGTATATTCCTCTCGTGCTCGGCTGATTCTCACTACCACTTTTGTGATACCGGGTATGTTCCTCCCGTGCTCGGCTAATTCTCACTACCACTTGTGTGATCCCGGATGTGTTCCTCCCGCGCTCGGCTGATTCTCACCACCACTTGTGTGATACCGGGTATGTTCCTCCCGCGCTCGGCTGATTTTCACTACCACTTGTGTGATACCGGGAATGTTCCTCCCGTGCTCGGCTGATTCTCCCTACCACTTGTGTGATACCGGGTATGTTCCTTCCGTGCTCGGCTAATTCTCATTACCGCTTGTGTGATACAAGGTATGTTCCTCCCGTGCTCGGCTGATTCTCACCACCACTTGTGTGATACAAGGTATGTTCCTCCCGCGCTCGGCTGATTCTCACTACCACTTGTGTGATACAGGGTATGTTCCTCCCGTGCTCGGCTAATTCTCACTACCACTTGTGTGATACCGGATGTGTACCTCCCGCGCTCGGCTGATTCTCACTACCACTTGTGTGATACCGGGTTTGTTCCTCCCGTGCTCGGCTGATTCTCACTACCACTTGTGAGATACCGGGTATGTATACAAGGTATATTCCTCTCGTGCTCGGCTGATTCTCACTACCACTTGTGAGATACCGGGTATGTATACAAGGTATATTCCTCTCGTGCTCGGCTGATTCTCACTACCACTTTTGTGATACCGGGTATGTTCCTCCCGTGCTCGGATGATTCTCACTACCATTTGTGTGATACCGGGTATGTTCCTCCCGTGCTCGGATGATTCTCACTACCATTTGTGTGATACCGGGTATTTTCCTCCCGTGCTCGGCTGATTCTCACTACCACTTTTGTGATACCGGGTATGTTCCTCCCGTGCTCGGATGATTCTCACTACCATTTGTGTGATACCGGGTATGTTCCTCCCGTGCTCGGATGATTCTCACTACCATTTGTGTGATACCGGGTATTTTCCTCCCGTGCTCGGCTGATTCTCACTACCACCCGTGTGATACAAGGTATGTTCCTCCCGTGCTCGGCTGATTCTTACTACCACTTGTGTGATACAAGGTATGTTCCTCCCGAGCTCGGCTGATTCTCACCACCACTTGTGTGATACAAGGTATGTTCCTCTCTTGCTCGGCTGATTCTCACTACCACTTGTGTGATACAAGGTATGTTCCTCTCTTGCTCGGCTGATTCTCACTACCACTTGTGTGATACCGTGTATGTTCCTTCCGTGCTCGGCTGATTCTCACTACCACTTGTGAGATAACGGGTATGTTCCTCCCGTGCTCGGCTAATTCTCACTACCACTTGTGTGATACAAGGTATGTTCCTCTCTTGCTCGGCTGATTCTCACTACCACTTGTGTGATACCGGATATGTTCCTACCGTGCCCGGCTAATTCTCACTACCACTTGTGTGATACAAGGTATGTTTCTTCCGTGCTCGCCTGATTCTCACTACCACTTGTGTGATACCGGGGATGTTCCTTCCGTGCTCGGCTGATTCTCACTACCACTTATGTGATACCGGGAACGATCCTCCTTACGGTACGTGTGTCGTCATGTTTTTTTTATCTTCACGTTTTATTTAGACTTTGTTGTTGCGAGGACGCAGAAACACTGAATAAACAAATTCATGTTAATAAACTTCTAACAAAAGTTCACGGTTACTTTTAAAAACTGCTAATATCAAAGGCGTATAACGCAGAATCGGGTTTTTTCTTTTGTGTCCTCTACAAAGAGGACGTGGAAGAGACCAAAGTTGATCTGCTGCCCCCATTGCAACGCCTTGGATCTTTTTCGTTTCCAATCTTTCCCGTCATCTTTCTTTTATATCTGCTAACTGTTTCGGGTCATGTCTCCTTATTGGCACCCGTCCTCATATGATCCTGGCTGTTTCAGGGACGTTAAACCCCAAACAAACAAACAAATAAATAAACAAACAAATTAGTATGTCTCTACAGATTGAGTATGAGTTTCCATACTCAGTTAGTTCTCATTTCGGGACGAGACTCTTTTTGACCAACAATTTAAAAAGCTGAGTTTTTAACGCAGACAACTGAGCATAGGCAAAGAATATTCAACGGTCACCATGACAACATGCCGCCGTATCCAAATATCTATTCATTTGCCCAAACTTAGGTAATGTGTGCAAGTTAACGGTCTTGAAACTCACTGAGATCTTGCAACAAATTTAAAACGCAAACAAATGTCGATCTCCGTATAGAAAAATTGGAATAGCTTTAATTTTCACAGATATTTTTCCAGCTGAACGAGAATATGAGCATGAGCACAGCATCTGAGTTAAAATATGGGAATGGTTTCATAACTACGGGTCCTTATTTACAACTAATATTCGATGTCAAGATAAATTCGCCCTTATTGCGGAGGGCAAAAATCCGAAAATTAAATTGCGTCGAAAATGTCCAGGTATACAGTAATATGAACACTTATCTCTTTACACTAATCAGACAACAGAAAAGGTAATGTCGTTGCCAATTGCTCTCCACATTTCTACAAATAGCTGTATTGAAAATACATTGTACATTTGACACAAGTAAAAAATATTGAAATTACATGTGATACCAGCAGCTATGAGCATGGTTTTAAATAAACGTTGAATGTTTTTTTTCATTTCGATGAAAAGAAAACAATCGCTAGAAATACGAAGATGGAGGCATCTATTAAATTCAATAGTACGTAGATACCAAGAGTTAAGCAAAGTAAACATTTAACAGCAGTCACGAAATGTACCATTCAATATGTTTAGGCGGGGGCCTATTGTTACGTAGACAGGAAAGAGTTCACCATACCAGCTGACGTCACTTTTCCAAGGTGTGACACGAACTGTTGATCACTCGGTGAGAACACAACTCCCACCCTTACTTTAATTCTGTACCCGTAACAAATTGCCTCTCCGAAAGCTCTGATATCTTCTGGTGTCCACCATCTTGGTTGGCGGTCAATCACGTGATCTAGAGCCCCACCTTCTCTCAGGGCGAAATAAACGACGGTGGAACTATTGCACGTGAGAAGGTTGTACTTGTTGTTAGCCTTGAACTTTAACCACCACCTTTTAACCTTATATTCATCTAATATTTCGTCGGTAATGTTGATGGCATGGACGGGAAGTTTTCCGAACTCGGCACGAATATCATCCTGTATCGTTTGTTGGTCACGTGCTATCACCCACTCGGTCGCCTGTAAAAGAAGTAAAAAGTTATGCAAGTACAATGTATCTCCAAGGTCATTACCGAAAGAAAAACACCAGATCACGTTGTAAGATGTGTGCCGAACAAAAGATCAAATTATTGTTATTTAAAGTTAAGTCCAGGTTCATGTAATGTCATTGTGAGTGGACAAAATTATATGAATCAAAACTGCTTGAAAAATACTGAAATTGGTTATTTGAAATATCACTCATAAAAAAGGAGGATTTTCTATATATAGACGCGAAATATGTTATCAAAATAATGTTCTTTACCTGGAGGATAGCACGCTGTCTTTATAAACATTAAAATGCTTGACATTGCAATTTAGCAGTCAGCAAATTGGCAACCATGAAACGTCAATAATTTGCAATTAAATATATAGAGAGCAGCGAAATACTATATGAAACAATGAGGAAGTTTTAAAATTGAAGAGTAGAAATTGTATAGATATGCATATGATAACTTGGACTCATAACAATTCCTTAACTACCTCAAAGACATAAAGATGGACTACGAAAACATAAAGGCTGCAAATGTGGCTACATATTGTTATACATATTGTGTCTAAATTTTTGATGCATTTTTTTCTTCTTCAAATATATCAGTTTTGTCAGTAACATCCACGTAAACCTTCAAAACTCTAAATCCAAAATGTTCAAGGGAAGAGAATGTTTGCTGATCTTCTAGTCAAACAGTTACAATTAAATACTTTTACACGAATCACTTCCTCGCTAGGAAAATTGCTTCAGACAGATGTCTACCAAATGCATATCACAAAGATAGGAATTGTGATTTTATCAAATATAATTGCAATGTATACTTACAGAAACTGGACTTTTCTCCAGCTGATACGTTGGTCTCCAACTGATGTAAGCCCCGTCCCCAAGGGCCATGGAGACATGACCCCACGAGGATTTGGTATTCCAAATGTATAACTTCACTACCATCACGGAAATAGCATCATTGCGACGTTAATCTGAAACATCAGAAACATCTTACAATTCGACAAAACAGCGTCCCCTGTCGATGAAATAAAATTCAATGTCGATATTACACTACTATGTAAGAAAAATCGTTTTGTAAATTCACTAGTTCGTTTTATGATATACCTTTTTTGTTTAAATAGTCCACTGCTCGTTATGTAGAATGCCCGTTGTTAATATCCAGTTTGATTAGATTATTGAATGTTTTTATTCATAATTTGTTTTCGTTTTGTAAATCACATGTTATTTTTTTATGATATTTTAAACGTACCTATTTTAGCACGGTATCAAAATTTAATAGATCAGGACATTTATGAATTGTGGCATCCCGGAAATATGCAATAGAGAATAATATACAAGAATCCCAATTAGCATTCATGGTTTAGCGCAATGATTAAAGAGCAAAAAGTTCTAAAATCAGGCTACCTCTAAAATATGGGCGTTAACAGTATTGCCTGTTTGTTTAAATGATTGACAGGAAAATTTATTAAAATCGCATATTCGTTTTATAAAATTGCCTGCTATTTTTATTTTATCAGATTTTGTTGTAGTTCTGTTTGTTTATAATGTTATATATTCCTATGTGAATAGTTTTTTTTTTTTTTTTTTTTTTTTTTTTTTTTTAAATTTTTTTTTTTTTTTTTTTTTTTTTTGTATGGTTCAAAACGTATGCTCTGCCCCTTCGGCTGTCCTTAATAACGCCCTTATCAACATATGAATACCTCTTCTACACATTACATCACCGACAAAACAATATTATGAACCTTTCATTCCAATATATGATATGTTTTGCATAGGGCTCTTATCTAACTAACATCAGCTTACCAGTAAAAACAGGCCTTCTATAAATATAATTAATAGATTTGTGGCTCAAAATAAATCTTCATGTGTTGTTTTCAGGTTTCTTAAGTCTTTTAAATAATTCTTTTGACACCCTACACCGACTTAGTCATTATTAACTATTGATATTGAAGGGTGAAAGGTTTCGGATACTTTAAACCGACTAAACAGACAAATCTTCCCAATGATGACACTGTCTTCTACTTTCGTCATAGTATATATCAACTATTAACTCATTCGCCCCTGAAATTTCGTAATGGACTATTCTAACCTTAGAATTGGAAGAGTTCAAATGTGTCTTCAGGGGTGAATGAGTTAATGGAAATAAAAGGAGATAAACAATTCTTACACTAACTGTAAACATGTCGTGATGGTCCACGAGAATGATCACATACAAAATTAAATAGTCATTATCTATAACATGTGCTCCACAAACGTAAATACAATTTAAAAACAATTCACCAACGGAACTGTAACGTTATAACCCGGACGCACTGTCGTTGTGTTTATGAAATGATACATACCTGTTTGGACACATAATAAACCTTCCGTAGCCTCTTATTGTTTGTACAGGGAAAACTTGGAATAAGAAAAACGTTTCTGGGAAATCTGTTGACGGAAATGAGCTAAGCATTTCATATACAGTCAGTGTATAATTAACATAGCGATCTCAAGATAGGTTATCTATATAGAACAGAATGGGATATTCAGTACTTGCTCCGATTACCGTGTGTCTTGGCTAATGTGTATATTGATGTTGTGTCGCTGTACAAACTATCCTTGTGATTTAGCACTGAGGCCTTTGAGAATATAAGATTATGCATTGGTTCAGGTCAGGGTGGTTATTATATATTAATATCATATTCATGATATATTGAACTGTCAAAAGTGCAACAATATTGGCCGTCAAAAAGTACGGCTTAACCCTGGTATGTTAACAAGGCATGCTTGTTTATCCTAACACCTGCCGGAACGACCCTGAAAGCTAAGTGATTCTTTAACAATAATACAGATCTGATAGTTCTTGAAAATGTATTTATTGTCTCTGAACAAACCGACGGGAAAATATCAATGTATGCCACTCGTTTTAATAAGTAAACCGCTGGAACACCAGTTCACTTACAGCTTATATATTCCAAAGTCTCTTTTCCTTTTCCGAAGTTTATGTACAACGAAGTCTTGATATAGTGACCCTCGTTTATCACCATACAATAATACCTTGATATAGTGACCCTCGTTTATCACAATTCAATTATACCTCGATATAGTGACCCTCGTTTATCACCATTCAATTATACCTCGATATAGTGACCCAAGTTTCATTTTCAATCTTACAACTGACATATTATTACAAAGTTTAGGTTCCTTTACCCACGTTTAAATACAGTGATTTCATACCATGTACATCGTTTATAACTATACCGTAATACCTCGGTGTAGTGCCCCTAGTGTCATTTCTCATCTGTACATCGTTTATAACTATACTGTAATTCCTCGGTGTAGTGCCCCTAGTTTCATTTGTCATCTGCACATCGTTTATAACTATACCGTAATACCGCGGTGTAGTGCCCCTAGTGTCATTTGTCATCTGTACATCGTTTATAACTATACTGTAATACCTCGGTGTAGTGCCCCTAGTGTCACTTGTCATCTGTACATCGTTTATAATTATACCGTAATACCTCGGTGTAGTGCCCTAGTGTCATTTGTCATCTGTACATCGTTTATAACTATACCGTAATACCTCGGTGTAGAGCCCATGGAGTCATTTTTCATCTGTACATCGTTTATAACTATACTGTAATCCCTCGGTGTAGTGCCCCTAGTGTCATTTGTCATCTGTACATCGTTTATAACCTTACCGTAATACCTCGGTGTAGTGCCCCTAGTTTCATTTGTCATCTGTACATCGTTTATAACTATACCGTAATACCTCGGTGTAGAGCTCATGGAGTCATTTTTCATCTGTACATCGTTTATAACTATACCGTGATACCTCGGTGGAGTGCCCCTAGTGTCATTTGTCATCTGTACATCGTTTATAACCTTACCGTAATTCCTCGGTGTAGTGCCCCTAGTTTCATTTGTCATCTGTACATCGCTTATAACTATACCGTAATACCTCGGTGTAGTGCCCCTAGTGTCACTTGTCATCTGTACATCGTTTATAATTATACCGTAATACCTCGGTGTAGTGCCCTAGTGTCATTTGTCATCTGTACATCGTTTATAACTATACCGTAATACCTCGGTGTAGAGCCCCTAGTGTCATTTGTCATCTGTACATCGTTTATAACTTTACCGTAATACCTCGGTGTAGAGCTCTTGTTTCATTTGTACATCGTTTATAACTATACCGTAATACCTCATTATAGTGTCCCTAGTTTCATTTGTCATCTCGCTTATAGCTTACATAATCCAATGTCTGTTTCCCTTTACCAATGTTTATATACAGTTAAGTTTTGATATCATCTACATCGTTTATATATATACCGTAATACCTCGGGTGTAGAGCCCTTAGTGTCATATGCCACTATTTTGCAATATAGCAGGGTCTTGCTGTACCAATGATATTTGTCCTCGGAATCTTACTTATGTCTATATTGATGATGTATATATAACATGTAATTAAGTTATCGTAATTAGAACTATTTCATATTTGTAATATATTATTTCGACAAGTTGTGATACGTGACTGACTCGGATAAATACGGTATATTTAAACAAATTTCAGTATAATTGCCCACTCATTTTATTTCTATAGAATATATGCAATCGTTTTGACTTGCTCCTTACAGTCTATGTAATTTTAATACAACGATGACGTACTCTTACCTACAAAATGACCTACTGGAAATGTATATCACGATATTAAATAAGTATACAAACTATCTATGGTCACGTGCAACATGAATATGTGTTTTCATTGCTTTGGAAGTAGGTATCCTATTAAGTCGCACCGCGTTTCATTCAGGATCAATTTTAAATACTAATTGCACCAGTGCTTAGCTATTATACATATACAAAATATACACGTTTTCTCACCGACTGAGTGACTGTACAGCAATTATGAAAATGTTGTTTTCTCATGTTATCTTATCAATACAGATTATAATATAAGTAGAGGAAGATAGAGACAAAAGTTTTTTTCACGTTAACGTATCAATATAGCTCATACTATTAGTCACGTTAACTTTTCAATACAGATCATAAAATAAGTAAAGGAAGATAGAGACAAAAGGTGTTTTTTTCACGTTAACTTTTCAATAAAGATCATAATATAAGTAAAGGAAGATAGAGACAAAAGGTTTATTAGACATGAGTATATGTACAAGGTTTAGTACTTACACCAGGAACAAGGAAGTTAGGGACAAGTGGTTAGCAAGGACATATTTGGAAGATATAGACATGTGGCGAATAAGACATGTTTATGTGTAGATTCTTTAGTACACACATCAGGAAGTTTTAGTTGGTATATGAGATACGATTTATATACTATGCTTTAGTATTTATTACAGATATAGAACTGTGGCTCATAAGACATATTTGCTTTCAGCATTTTCTGTTAATATCTAAAATGACGCTTAATAGACATATTGTTTATGAAATACGTCTGCATATACTATGTTTATTATATGAAACAGGAAGTTATAAACAGATGTTTATAAGACATGTTTCATGTTTAGAATGTTATGTGCGATATAATGATATTGAATATTGAATAATGTTCTAATTATAGCTCTACTATCGATAGATTTTGAATAACATATAGCTTTTTTTTTTTTTTTTTTTAAATGTATGTATCTCATTTTTGTCAAGTGTATAACATATAATGTGAATACTTACCCTAGTTGTGTCACTGGTCAACTGTTATTTTATATATACTAATGGTTCATTAGTAAAAACCTGGTTCAAGTTAAAGTTCCTCATTCCTTAGGTTCTACAACTTATCGGTTTATCGTGCATGATTATAAAAAGGAACAACATATACACATATGTTAAATGGTTTCCATCCATGTGTATATAAAGCCTACATAATGAGTCAGTGTCTGGTGAATAGTCTACTATCCATGTGTATATCTAGTGTACATAATGAGTCAGGGTCTGGTGAATAGTCTACCATCATGTGAATATCTAGTGTACATAATGAGTCAGGGTCTGATGGATGGTCTACCATCATGTGAATATCTAGTGTACATAATGAGTCAGGGTCTTGTGAATAGTCTACCATCATGTGTATATCTAGTGTACATAATGCGTCAGGGTCTGGTGAATAGTCTACCATCATGTGAATATCTAGTGTACATAATGAGTCAGGGTCTGGTGAGTGGTCTTCCATTATGTGTATGTCTAGTGTACTTAATGAGTCAGGGTCTGGTGAGTGGTCTTCCATTATGTGTATATCTAGTGTACTTAATGAGTCAGGGTCTGGTGAGGGGTCTACCATCATGTGTATATCTAGTGTACATAATGCGTCAGGGTCTGGTGAATAGTCTACCATCATGTGAATATCTAGTGTACATAATGAGTCAGGGTCTTGTGAATAGTCTACCATCATGTGTATATCTAGTGTACCTAATGAGTCAGGGTCTGGTGAATGGTCTAACATCATGTGTATATCTAGTGTACATAATGAGTCGGGGTCTGGTGAATGGTCTACTATTTATATGTATATCTATTGTACACAATGAGTCAGGGTATGGTGAATGGTTTATCATCCATATGTATATCTAGTGTACATAATGAGTCGGGGTCTGATGAGTGGTCTTCCATTATGTGTATATCTAGTGTACTTAATGAGTCAGGGGCTGGTGAGTGGTCTACCATCATGTGTATATCTAGTGTACATAATGAGACAGGGTCTAATGAATGGTCTACCGTCCATGTGTATATCTAGTACACCTAAGGAGTCAGGGTCTGGTGACTGGTCAACCATCATGTGTATATCTAGTGCACCTAATGAGTCAGGGTCTGGTGAATGGTCTACCATCATGTGTATCTCTAGTGTACATAATGAGTCAGGGTCTGATGAATGGTCTACCATCATGTGAATATCTAGTGTACATAATGAGTCAGGGTCTGATGGATGGTCTACCATCATGTGAATATCTAGTGTACATAATGAGTCAGGGGCTGGTGAATGGTCGACCATCATGTGTATCTCTAGTGTACATAATGAGTCAGGGTCTGGTGAATAGTCTACCATCATGTGTATATCTAGTGTACCTAATGATTCAGGGTCTGGTGAATGGTCTACCATCATGTGTATCTCTAGTGTACATAATGAGTCAGGGTCTGGTGAATAGTCTACCATCATGTGTATATCTAGTGTACCTAATGAGTCAGGGTCTGGCGAATGGTCTACCATCATGTGTATATCTAGTGTACATAATGCGTCAGGGTCTGGTGAATAGTCTACCATCATGTGAATATCTAGTGTACATAATGAGTCAGGGGCTGGTGAATGGTCGACCATCATGTGTATCTCTAGTGTACATAATGAGTCAGGGTCTGATGAATGGTCTACCATCATGTGAATATCTAGTGTACATAATGAGTCAGGGGCTGGTGAATGGTCGACCATCATGTGTATCTCTAGTGTACATAATGAGTCAGGGTCTGGTGAATGGTCTACTATCCATATGTATATCTAGTGTACATAATGAGTCAGGGTCTGATGGATGGTCTACCATCATGTGAATATCTAGTGTACATAATGAGTCAGGGTCTGGTGAATAGTCTACCATCATGTGTATATCTAGTGTACCTAATGAGTCAGGGTCTGGTGAATGGTCTAACATCATGTGTATATCTAGTGTACATAATGAGTCGGGGTCTGATGAGTGGTCTTCCATTATGTGTATATCTAGTGTACATAATGAGTCAGGGTCTGCATAATGAGTCAGGGTCTGGTGAGTGGTCTTCCATTATGTGTATGTCTAGTGTACTTAATGAGTCAGGGTCTGGTGAGTGGTCTACCATCATGTGTATATCTAGTGTACATAATGCGTCAGGGTCTGGTGAATAGTCTACCATCATGTGAATATCTAGTGTACATAATGAGTCAGGGTCTGATGGATGGTCTACCATCATGTGAATATCTAGTGTACATAATGAGTCAGGGTCTTGTGAATAGTCTACCATCATGTGTATATCTAGTGTACCTAATGATTCAGGGTCTGGTGAATGGTCTACCATCATGTGTATAGGGTCTGGTGAGTGGTCTTCCATTATGTGTATATCTAGTGTACATAATGAGTCAGGGTCTGGTGAGTGGTCTTCCATTATGTGTATATCTAGTGTACTTAATGAGTCAGGGTCTGGTGAGTGGTCTACCATCATGTGTATATCTAGTGTACATAATGAGTCAGGGTCTGGTGAGTGGTCTACCGTCCATGTGTATATCTAGTACACCTAAGGAGTCAGGGTCTGGTGAGTGGTCTACTACATGTGTATATCTAGTGTACATAATGAGTCAGGGTCAGGTGAGTGGTCTACCATCATGTGTTTATCTGGTGTACATAATGAGTCAGGGTCTGGTGAGTGGTCTACCGTCCATGTGTATATCTAGTACACCTAAGGAGTCAGGGTCTGGTGACTGGTCAACCATCATGTGTATATCTAGTGCACCTAATGAGTCAGGGTCTGGTGAATGGTCTACCGTCCATGTGTATATTTAGTGAACATAATGAGTCAGGGTCTGGTGAGTGGTCTACCGTCCATGTGTATATCTAGTGTACATAATGAGTCAGGGTCTGGTGAATGGTCTACCATCATGTGTATATCTAGTGTACATAATTAGTGAGGGTCTGGTGAATAGTCTACCATCATGTGTATATCTAGTGCACCTAATGAGTAAGGGTCTGGTGAGTGGTCTACCGTCCATGTGTATATCTAGTGTACAGAATGAGTCAGGGTCTGGTGAGTGGTCTACCATACATGTGTATATCTAGCGTACATAATGAGTCAGGGTCTGGTGAGTGGTCTACCATCATGTGTATATCCAGTGTACATAACGAGTCAGGGTCTGGTGAATGGTCTACCATCATGTGTATATCCAGTGTACATAATGAGTCAGGGTCTGGTGAGTGGTCTACTATCATGTGTATATCTAGTGTACATAATGAGTCAGGGTCTGGTTAGTGGTGTACCATCATGTGTATATCTAGTGTACATAATGAGTCAGGGTCTGGTGAATGGTCTACTATCCATGTGTATATCTAGTGTACATAATGAGTCAGGGTCTGGCGAGTGGTCTTCCATCATGTGTAAATCTAGTGTACATAATGAGTCAGGGTCTGGTGAATGGTCTACCATACATGTGTATATCTAGTGTACATAATAAGTAAGGGTTTGGTGAATAGTCTACCATCATGTGTATATCTAGTGCACCTAAAGAGTCAGGGTCTGGTGAATGGTCTTCCACCATGTGTATATCTAGTGTACATAACGAGTCGGGGTCTGGTGAATGGTCTACTATTCATATGTATATCTATTGTACATAATGAGTCAGGGTATGGTGAATGGTTTATCATCCATATGTATATCTAGTGTACATAATGAGTCGGGGTCTGGTGAATGGTCTACTATCCATATGTATATCTATTGTACATAATGAGTCAGGGTATGGTGAATGGTTTATCATCCATATGTATATCTAGTGTACATAATGAGTCGGGGTCTGGTGAATGGTCTACTATCCATATGTATATCTAGTGTACATAATGAGTCAGGGTCTGGTGAATGGTCTACCATCATGTGTATATCTAGTGTACATAATGAGTCAGGGTCTGGTGAATGGTCTACCATCATGTGTATATCTAGTGTACATAATGAGTCAGGGTCTGGTGAATGGTCTACCATCATGTGTATATCTAGTGTACATAATGAGTCAGGGTCTGGTGAATGGTCTACCATCATGTGTATATCTAGTGTACATAATGAGTCAGGGTCTGGTGAATGGTCTACCATCATGTGTATATCTAGTGTACATAATGAGTCAGGGTCTGGTGAATGGTCTACCATCATGTGTATATCTAGTGTACATAATGAGTCAGGGTCTGGTGAATGGTCTACCATCATGTGTATATCTAGTGTACATAATGAGTCAGGGTCTGGTGAATGGTCTACCATCATGTGTATATCTAGTGTACATAATGAGTCAGGGTCTGGTGAATGGTCTACCATCATGTGTATATCTAGTGTACATAATGAGTCAGGGTCTGGTGAATGGTCTACCATCATGTGTATATCTAGTGTACATAATGAGTCAGGGTCTGGTGAATGGTCTACCATCATGTGTATATCTAGTGTACATAATGAGTCAGGGTCTGGTGAATGGTCTACCATCATGTGTATATCTAGTGTACATAATGAGTCAGGGTCTGGTGAATGGTCTACCATCATGTGTATATCTAGTGTACATAATGAGTCAGGGTCTGGTGAATGGTCTACCATCATGTGTATATCTAGTGTACATAATGAGTCAGGGTCTGGTGAATGGTCTACCATCATGTGTATATCTAGTGTACATAATGAGTCAGGGTCTGGTGAATGGTCTACCATCATGTGTATATCTAGTGTACATAATGAGTCAGGGTCTGGTGAATGGTCTACCATCATGTGTATATCTAGTGTACATAATGAGTCAGGGTCTGGTGAATGGTCTACCATCATGTGTATATCTAGTGTACATAATGAGTCAGGGTCTGGTGAATGGTCTACCATCATGTGTATATCTAGTGTACATAATGAGTCAGGGTCTGGTGAATGGTCTACCATCATGTGTATATCTAGTGTACATAATGAGTCAGGGTCTGGTGAATGGTCTACCATCATGTGTATATCTAGTGTACATAATGAGTCAGGGTCTGGTGAATGGTCTACCATCATGTGTATATCTAGTGTACATAATGAGTCAGGGTCTGGTGAATGGTCTACCATCATGTGTATATCTAGTGTACATAATGAGTCAGGGTCTGGTGAATGGTCTACCATCATGTGTATATCTAGTGTACATAATGAGTCAGGGTCTGGTGAATGGTCTACCATCATGTGTATATCTAGTGTACATAATGAGTCAGGGTCTGGTGAATGGTCTACCATCATGTGTATATCTAGTGTACATAATGAGTCAGGGTCTGGTGAATGGTCTACCATCATGTGTATATCTAGTGTACATAATGAGTCAGGGTCTGGTGAATGGTCTACCATCATGTGTATATCTAGTGTACATAATGAGTCAGGGTCTGGTGAATGGTCTACCATCATGTGTATATCTAGTGTACATAATGAGTCAGGGTCTGGTGAATGGTCTACCATCATGTGTATATCTAGTGTACATAATGAGTCAGGGTCTGGTGAATGGTCTACCATCATGTGTATATCTAGTGTACATAATGAGTCAGGGTCTGGTGAATGGTCTACCATCATGTGTATATCTAGTGTACATAATGAGTCAGGGTCTGGTGAATGGTCTACCATCATGTGTATATCTAGTGTACATAATGAGTCAGGGTCTGGTGAATGGTCTACCATCATGTGTATATCTAGTGTACATAATGAGTCAGGGTCTGGTGAATGGTCTACCATCATGTGTATATCTAGTGTACATAATGAGTCAGGGTCTGGTGAATGGTCTACTATCCATATGTATATCTAGTGTACATAATGAGTCAGGGTCTGGTGAATGGTTTACCACCATGTGTATATCTAGTGTACATAATGAGTCAGGGTCTGGTGAATGATCTACCATCCATTTGTATATCTATTATACATTATGAGTTAAGGTCTGGTATATGGTCTACCTTCCATGCGTATGAATATCGTACATAATAAGTCAGGGTCTGGTATATGGTCTACCTTCCATGCGTATATCTATCGTACATAATGAGTCGGGGTCTGGTATAGGGTCTACCATCTATTTAGCATACAGTTCTAGCCAATGATTTGTGAGTGATTTAATATTAAGTAAATGAAGCATACATTTCAACTTTATTTTATTCAATTTTCTATATACAATGTAACATACAATGTAAAACTCCTTCGACTTGGTTACTCCAGGAGTACCCTTACTAACTATTCGTATGCAATCAAAGTCTCGAGTGAGAAATATGCACAGTACTAGACATAGTTTAGTAAGCGTGCAATAACCAAAATAGTGAGAGAGAAAAAATCGTTTATCTCTTAGAATTTTTATTTCATTACTATTGAGCATTTACAAAAAATCATTAAATCTTTTTTCATACATTTATCAAATTCAACATTCCTAATGATGTTTACCTTTCTCATTAAAATAATTTCATATATTGCCATCATTATCTAAATGTGCCACATGTACATAATACACACAGCTATTTAACATACACAACCATAGAACTAAATAGAAGCAGTTATGGTGAAGAATAAGCACGCGATCTTTAAATCGTCTTGTATCAGATGTCTGGACATCACCGCTGGAGGATTTTGTTTGGTGTGAATATGGACCTGTAGACACTATACAATTCTCCGTTGATATATACGTTGCCCCAAACAATATAAACTTGTATCCTGCCTTGTCGTAGAAATATGAATGGTACTTTGAAAACTCTTTAATGCAAATTTACGTCCCCTAAGGTTGTGTGAATTATTGGAACAGTTTCACGCCAAATACAAATGATTAAGGGAACAGAAACTGTTACATAGGGAGTGCTCTTCCCGGGAAAATGTTGATATTTGTCAATTCTGTGTTTTTGTTGATGCCGAACTTACATTCGGTGTCTTCGACGTCATGTTATTTTTCATTGATCTTTAGTGCAATCTCAGTTTTTACGAGCAATGCGCTTGTGGTATTCTAATGACCCAATATAACTCAACCATCTGCAAATGATTTTAACGCTGTAAATTTCGTTTTTCAGCAAATTAACACTACCAGTCAATGAGTGTAGTGTTTTTTGGACTTCGTCAATTTTCTGTAGCTGTCGTTCAATCATATCAATCCTCGTATCATCCCTGAAGCCTGGTCTATTACCTGTAAAACAATAACCCATATTATTCATATTTATCAAGTTAATATTTGATTAATGATTTTTTTCTTCTAGAGATGCTTTATAAATAGTCACTGCACAACGTTGATAAAATCTCAAATAATTGGTATATTGTTTCATAAATGCGATGGGATGCGGGTCAATCCTATATTTGTTAAATGTATTTAGGCAAATAGCCTGATAAGATATACCGGCTACCACAAGAACAAAAAATCATAACTTATGAACTAACAACATCCCCAACTGTGGAGATATTAAACACCAAAACTGACTGATGTCGTGTTGGAATTTACTAGTAAGAGTATAGAAATAAACCAACCATCTACTGCAATTTTTTCACCGCCGAGGCACATCTCTTTTCCTTTCTGATAAAGTGTTCCATTACAGCAAGATAGGTTATGATTTTCAAACACCGTTTTATCGTAGACGTTTCCACAGCAAATTTCACTTGCGTTTTTATATGTTTTACCGCTGGCTGTAAAGGTTAAAAATAGTAATTATACTAAGTACTTATCATAGTATATCACAAGAAAACATTTAAACGGGTTGAATGAAAACCGGAAACGACAAATCAATTTCCCCCCTATTGGCTCTTGTATTAAAGCAGTTTCATGCTTATATGAATGTAACTACACGTGAAGTGGTCATGACGAATGTCCTTTTAAATAGCTACGTTACATTGCATCACTGATATATTGAGTGATGTTTCAAATCTTAACATTTATTTTCTTACTGATATTGCTTTATATACAGTATTGAATTTTAGACAAACAAACTCGAAAACCGTACCCCATTGTTGTAGGAAACATTGAGTGTATAAGAACTCACGACACACGATTAATATAAAGTTAGCATAGTAAAATACAGTATGACAATTGTTAACCAATATCACAACAAAATGAAGGTACTAGCGAAGAATCCCTTCGGTTTCACCGAAGTGAGATTCCCTGTAATTGTTTATGGCATCACTGATATATAGAGTTATATTTCAATTCTTCACGTTTATTTTCTTACTTGCTATGTATACAGTATTGAATTTTAGACAAACAAACTCGAAAACCGTACCCCATTGTCATAGGAAACATACATTGAGTGTATAAGAACTCTATCTCTTTATATCAGAATTTCAGCTAGGAGAGGCATTTTCAACTTACCATTACAACATTGGATAATTTGACCATCTTGCTTACGGTCAGATAGTTTGGAGTCGCAGCATATCTGCTCGTCTAAGTTGTAGTTGGTCTTATCACAGAAATGGGTTAGCCCGACTGACATCCTCACTGGAGAAAAAAATAGATGCTCTTCATAAGTTTCCAATGTAAGTCTCAAACCGTTGAAATAGTTGAAAATAATAAATACATTTTACATGTCAAAAGAATAGGTTGAAACCCGTTTATTACTGAACCCAGTGCAATGTAAAGACTTAAAAAAATCCTTTTTAGTGAAAAAACTGTCCTGCAGGTTTACAAGTTATTTTATTACAATAATGGAAAAGTATACACTTTTCTTATTCAATAATCTGAGAGGAGTTTTCTCCCCGAATACTGAAGAACAAAGGATAGGACCAGTGCCACGTTTATAACCATGACTGATATTTATCAGAATGGTATGTACGGTAGACGAGGACTTGTTGGCGGCTAAAACATTTTCCTGGTGTATCGTTAACTGAAGAACAAAAATCATAACTTATGAAATAACAACATCCTCAACTACGGAGATATTAAACACCAAAACTGACTGATGTCGTGTTGGAATTTACTAGTACGAGTATAGAAATAAACCAACCTTTTATTTCACCGCCGAGGCACATCTCTTTTCCTTTCTGGTAACGTGTTCCATTACAGCAAGATAAGTTTTGATTTTCAAACACCGTTTTATTGTAGACGCTTCCACAGCAAATTTCACTTTCATTTTTATAGGTTTCGCCGCTGGCTGTAAAAGTTAAAAATAGCAATTATACTATGTACTTATCAGAGTATATCACACGAAAACATTTAGTATAAGTAACTTATAACACGTGTTGACTATATGTATCTATGAACTGAGATAGTATTAGCATTGACACTATATAACCCTACCAAAAACAGATTTACAAAATAGATGAAAACAGTTAACAGAATTATTGAATGAACACCGGAAACGGCAAATCAACATTTCCCCTATTGGCTCCCATGTTAAAGCAGTTTTGTGCTTATATGAATATAACTAGAGCACGTGAAGTGGTTATGACACATTTTTTTAAAAAGGCTACGTTACATAGAGTGTTGTTTTGTCAGTGTTGTTTCAGTGACGACACACGATTAATATAAAGTTAGCATAGTAAAATACAGTATGACAATTGCTAACCAATATCGCAAACAAATGAAGGTACTAGCCAAGAATCCCTTCGGTTTCACCGAAGTGAGATTCCCTGTAATTGTTTATGGCATCACTGATATATAGAGTTATATTTCAATTCTTCACGTTTATTTTCTTACTTGCTATGTATACAGTATTGAATTTTAGACAAACTCGAAAACCGTACCCCATTGTCATAGGAAACATACATTGAGTGTATAAGAACTCTATCTCTTTATATCAGAATTTCAGCTAGGAGAGGCATTTTCAACTTACCATTACAACATTGGATAATTTGACCATCTTGCTTACGGTCAGATAGTTTGGAGTCGCAGCATATCTGCTCGTCTAAGTTGTAGTTGGTCTTATCACAGAAATGGGTTAGCCCGACCGACATCCTCACTGGAGAAAAAAATAGATGCTCTTCATAAGTTTCCAATGTAAGTCTCAAACCGTTGAAACAGTTGAAAATAATAAATACATTTTACATGTCAAAAGAATAGGTTGAAACCCGTTTATTACTGAACCCAGTGCAATGTAAAGACTTAAAAAATCCTTTTTAGTGAAAAAACTGTCCTGCAGGTTTACAAGTTATTTTATTACAATAATGGAAAAGTATACACTTTTCTTATTCAATAATCTGAGAGGAGTTTTCTCCCCGAATACTGAAGAACAAAGGATAGGACCAGTGCCACGTTTATAACCATGACTGATATTTATCAGAATGGTATGTACGGTAGACGAGGACTTGTTGGCGGCTAAAACATTTTCCTGGTGTATCGTTAACTGAAGAACAAAAATCATAACTTATGAAATAACAACATCCTCAACTACGGAGTAATACCAAATTTTCTCTGAGCCAATTCCAATGAAGATATGTAACGTTATCTCTGTCATTATCATCACATCAGCTATGGTGCGATAACAAAACATAATTTGGTTAGTCTCACTACATCCACACTTTTTAATCAACAGAAAGAATATTTCAATAATATACTTCTATGAAAAAAAGAAAAAAGAAAAAAAAATAAAAAAAATATATATATATATATACTTCTGTGGCGTGGCTTGTTTCATATTAACATGAAAAATTAGAATATATATATTCGAAAAATAATGTGACTGAGTCAAATTTTTGAAAAACGTTTTCATCATATTTTTGTGTAAAAAATGAATCAGAGGATTTTTATAGGGAAATGAATCATTTCAGCTTAAAATAATGGTGATTCCCATTTATTTTTAGGTCATGAATTCATAATGTAGTGTTATTTTTCATTTGAATGAGTCATCATTGTTGCAAACTAAAAGATACCATAGTTATTGAGGAGAGCAGTTAGTATAAGGAAAATGAAACAGAAAGTAACTATTTATCTTGATACTTACTGCTATACAACATCTTATCCTATACCTATTAAATCTGATATTATACAATAATGTTACATACAATTTCATAATTAAGTGTTGTGATTTTAGTGAACGAGATTTTTATATGTTTTATATCTCCATACTAGTATTAGGGACTGATCAAATTCATTTTGATTTGAACTTTAGTAAATAAACATAATCATTCTATATTAAACAATAAAACTATAATATCTAGAAATGGTGTAGGTCCTTTGTGTTTTCGATATTCCTTGAGAATAAGTATCATGCATTCTAGAAACCCTAGTTAAAAAAGTAATGCATGCGTCCTTTTATGCTCTTTACTTAACTTATTTCAAAGATTGAACGTAATAAAAATAATTGTAAACACAAATGTAATGAAGAAGGCTCAGATTACAAAATGAATCAAACTAGTTTTCATTGTTCTGGAAAGATTTCAATATACATAAACTTCTTAAAATTTTCAAGACATCTTAAATGATTAAATTACGCCAAATGTTGATTTCTTATTTCCTGTCTCTCCTCAAAGTGTTATTAAAATAATTGATAAAGGAATTCATTATATAAACATATTTGGAAAACATGTTTGTATCGGCTCAAGAAAACATCTGCAATACTGAAGACTGAGAGTCCATATATCCAAGATATAATAGTTTGAAAGACAATACGGGAAACTATGTGTTTAATTTAAATTTTCCGTTCCGTAGACAGTGTTGCTTTAAAAAAATTAAAAGTCCCAAATAAATGGATATTTCACAAATAAATAATAGAGGGAGGACCTCTCCTCATAACAGATACAACTTTAAGTAACAACATTATAACTCAAGTAATAACAGACAGTACGTATAGTTATTTCTAAATAATAGGCTGCTATATTTGTTTATATAATATATTATTTATGGAATCTATCTTATTTCAGGTATAGCTACTCGTATTCGAAAAACCTTCCATGTTAATTAATGACTAGTTTTTTGTCATCTTGTCCCGTTTTATGAAACCGCTCTCATGTCCAATCTCAGATTCTGTGCTCGGTCCCATTTTCTTGTTCCCTAGATAAACTATTGTTATCTGCAGTAGCAGATTGCAGTAGAATTGAATTTTTAATAACTGAAGGAAGAAAATATTGCAAAATACTAATACGAAAAATAATATAAATTTTTAATTTAATATACTGGGCAGAAATAAAATGGTGCAATTTTCAAAAGCACATTTTACTGTTATGAAAAATAAGCTACAATGCCTAGGGAAATCAGAGAAATAAGCTGAAATACGATGATAAAACAGAAAATAAACTACCATTCATTGGTCAATGGGAAAAAATAAACCAGAATCTTGTTTAAGTAGAGAAAATAAGCTAAAATACTTTGGTAAAACTAAGAAAGAAAGCTACAAAACCATTATATAAAGTGAAGAGAACTACCAGAATAGATTGGCAAAAAAGAACAGATTAAATTACAATGCATTTGTGAAAAAAGATACAATGCCAAGGTAAAAACTAAGAAATAAGCTTCAATCGATTGACAAAACTGAGGAGTTAAACTAGCCTACTATGCATTAGTTAAAAGAAGGAAATAACGTAAAATGCCTAGGTAAAATTTTGAAATAAGCTTTAACCGATTGACAAACCTGAGGAGTGAAACTAGCCTACTGTGCATTAGTAAAAATAGGAAATAGCGTAAAATGCCCGGGTAAATCTTTGAAATAAGCTTTAACCGATTGACAAAACTGAAGAGTGAAACTAGCCTACTGTGCATTAGTAAAAATAAGGAAATAACGTAAAATCAGGTAAAATTTAAGAAATAAGCTTCAGTTGCCTGGTAAATTAAAGGAATCAAACTACAATGCATAAGTAAATTAGTCATAGTGTACAATGCCTTGGCAAAAGTGAGGAAATGAGCCACAGTGTCTTGGTAAAACGAAGGAAGAAGAAATGACAGTGTCAAACCTTATCAATAAAAACATTATTGAGCTGTTTAATGTGTGGTCGGGTGGCCACAAACAAGAGTGATTAATGTAAATTTACAAACCAAAAAAATGTTTCATAACTGTTGTAAAAGTACGTTTAAAGAAATAATAAAATGTTATTAGTAAGAGCGTAACTTAATCAATGATAATGTAATGTTACAGAACTCCAATGAAATGTATTGTGTTAACATTTACTTTCGTAGATTGTCAATGTTAATTACAGACATCAATCGATATATTACAAAAAATGTATATAATAAATTACCTCCGAAAAATGCAGCCAGGAGATAACAGAAAAGCATGGTGTACCGGCCTGGCATGATGAACCAATATTAGAAAGAAAAAAATGGTCGACCTTTTAATCAATAAAATGATATTTTCCTTATTTCTAAATATAATATAGGTAAACCAGGTCAGAAATAAAAAAACATTTCTTACCGGTGTTCATCTTTGAATCACCGAAACCGCAATTAATGCTGACGTACATCTCTAACTTATAAACAGTACACGATTACAGATCCGTCATACTTACTTGAAGTACTACTAACACATCCGTTTAGAATGATCCACTCATGTCATTCTTGGACAGTGAGTACCTCCCCACTTTTCATAAATCTTGCATAAACAAATCCAGATAGTATCAGATTTGTCATAATTGTAGTATTTTTTCATAGTCTAATGGCAGTTGTTTTCAGTTGGTAGATTCATGTACAGAACACACATCAAGAATGTAAATATATATACCTGTTACTACTTTGGACGATGCACCACCCACAATATTACGGCACAACTTGGAACCATTCATGGTATTTTTTAAACTTTAAACATATAAAAATCTCCAAATGGGAACAAAAGATTCGGCACAATTTATTACAATTTATGAAGCCATTTCCTATCAATGTCAATATTCTGTAATAAAAATGTATAATCAAAATCTTTCTTTGATCTAATTAAAGTTTGCACATGGTCCCAACATATTGTAAGGAGGATAAACTTGATAGATAATTTAAAGTCAGATGACAGCTCATTCTTGCTCTCTAGAAAATGATTCCAATCCTGTTTTAAAATATAGAGATTAATTGCTAACATTTAAAATTAACATTGTGATTATTGTAGCTGTTTCACGTTATTCCCGCTCAAACTTTTCAGAATCGACCTAAGCAATGAAAGTATCCATTTAAGATCTAACATTACCATTATTTTTCACCGAAATGACAATAACTACATGAAACGATCTCACGGGAAAATTAACTTCATTTTTAAAAGATTTTTTTCACAGTCCGCTTCCTCCAGCGTTTATTAAGCCATTATATTTATTATAGATTTAAGTATTTGTAACAGGTTAGGAAATGTCATGTCGAATTTCTAAAGATGGTCCGGTACCATCTCGTATTGGTTTCTCTGACCGTGTGTAACTACAATGTACATGATAATAATTAAAGACAACAACTTGCAGCTTACATTACCATGACTTATAAATGTGACTATTTCGATTTTTCAATCATGAGCTTTCTTTTTCTTGTTAGTAGCATTCTTAATTCCTCTACATACGGTTTACATGGACTTCCACAGAATATCGCAATTTATGTGGTAGATGTCGAGTGCTGACTGACAAACTTTACAACACAGGGTTCCGAGAGGTGCAGCATGATAAAGATATGGCCAAGTTTAATATATATTTTTCATTATTCACTCAAAGAATCAAATTCCTTTTTGTATTTCCAGTATTTCCAAAGCTTTCAACCTTTTAAACAGACTTCCTAAAATTAAATCAAATATTCCACCAAAAAAGGTTTACAATTATAATGGCGTTTTAAAATACAGTCAGGACCACAACCAGCTGCGGTTCCTTTTCTATTCTATATACACCTTCCAAATCCAGGTCAATATATTAATTGTAAATGTATCGTTTTGAAAGCCCCCCTCCCCTCCCTTTCAGAATAATTCTGGATAATAACCCCTGTTTCTGTTTTGCCTGATTTACTGTTCCATAATTTGTTTTAACCCGTGAAGGTTAGGGTAAAGAATAGGCCAAACTTGATCTGCTGTCCCCATGGCAACACTAAGGATCTGTTTCGTTTCCTATCTTTCCTGTCTTCTTTTTTTCATCTTCTTTCTGTTTCCTTCGGCGCCCGTCCTCATACCACCCTGGCGGTTGCGAATACGTTAAACCCTGACCAAACAAACAACCATGATTTATTTTTAAATAATTCTTCTTGGTGTGGAAATGAGATAAAATGATGGTTAAATTGTGATATGATAATTGACTTGATAATAAGTATTCTTCCTTAAGGTTTCAAAATCTTTCAGTTCCACGTCTTAATTTATCACTTGGGATTTACTTGTTATTCCACATAAGGAAATTTTGTTATCACGATACTCGATGGCTATGAATGTAAATTTTGTGTATCTGGAAAGTACTGTTTAAAAATAGTTTCAAGTGCATTTAATGATACATTTTTCAAGTGGTCCTCAAGCTAAGTGTATAATAAATAGGCAATACCACACATATGTGTTGATCTGAGTATTCGGATCGCATGAGTTTGTGGTGGCGGAGGAATATATCACGAGTGCGCTTGTTTTCTACAACGTCGGTACCGCATTGGGCCGACGTATTGTTTTCTATAACGTCGTTATCACGTTGGACCGACACATTATTTTCTATAAATAGAATCTTACATGAGTTTCCATTTCATATGAGATTTCATAAACGAGTCTAAGAATGTTTCAATTAAGCGAGCCTCTGGCGAGCTAAAATGAAAAATTCGTGACGAGTTTCATAAATTTCATATGAAATGAAAACAAGTGTAAGATTATTTTTATCACATAATCAAGATTTGTGGCATTTATTCGCGTAAAATGACAATTTTCATGCAACCTTGAAATGTAATAAAGCCGCCATTTTGACTCCAGTGCGTAAGTATATGACGTCATGTACTTGTCCTAGGCGTGACGTCACAGTGGAAACAATTGCAATTTTCAACCAATCACAGGGCTGATAGGTCATATTACATGGGTTAATCATATTCGCAGGAAAACACAATACATTATGTGATAAAACGTTCATACAACGTTGGGCCGACACATTTTTCTACAATATCGGTAGCACGTTGGGCCAACAACAAAACGTTAATTCACCTGGTCCGTTTAACAAAATTGATACAATGGGTATGGAGCGATACCGTTGCAGACTATTTATACATTGTAATGTCTATCATTTAAATTTGGTATTTAACAACGTTGGTGCAACCTTTTTTTCTACAACGTCGGTGCCACTCAAATTTCCTTCTCTTACATCATCTCCTCCTTCTATCTTGTCATGACGTTCATCCTAACCCAGGCCCTACAAATCATAGTAACGATATCTCTATATTTCATTTGAACATTCGCAGTCTAAGAAATAAGTTGTCGTATTTAGAACATGTAGCGACTGATTATGATATTGTCTGTGTCACCGAGACTCACCTTGATATATCTATATCAGACGACGAGGCAAAGACCGTGGGTCTCCGGGTGGGGGGATATCTGTTCACACTTTCAGTCTTTTATGCACCCGTCGTAGAGCTGACTTGGAATTTGCGGTGGGTGAAGTGGTTTGGACAGAGATCCAGTTTCGTAATAAGGAACACCTCTTGTGTACACTCTATAGACCTCCTAACAGCACATTCTCTTCTGGAATCATTTTCGTTTCTCTCTGGAAACTGCCTTACACGAAACTCCGTATGTTGTGATAGTTGGCAGATATAAATGTTTATCTTTCAGTTGTAGAAAACACTCATGTAATTTACGATATTATAAATTCCGATCACTTGTCAAACATTATTAACGAACCGACGCGCATTGGACGCACGCGCTCTACCTTGCTTGACCCTTTGCTTTCGCTGACGTAATAGACATAGACAAGGGCATTTCAGACCACCAAGAGACGACCGTGGAATTGACTGTTGGGACAAATTTGAAAGGATATATAAAAGGAAAATAACTCTTTATAGTGACGCAAATTACGAATTATTTAACCACAAATTAGATGAGACAGATTGGACAGACTTGTTTTCGCGGGTGCACTCCCTTTATGATAAGTGTGAAATATTTACAACGGTTTTTTTTTAACCTAGCTAGGGAGTGCATACCAACAAAATTAGTGACGATTCGACCTAATGACAAACCACGGTTTAATTATAACTTACTACGGTTAATCAGGAAAAGAAGCAGACTATTGCACGTATTCAAATCTAATCGTTCTCCAAATAACTTGACTAACTTTCGGAAACGATGGAATCATGTGAATAATCTTAAGTAAAAGACAAAAGATTTGTTTTACGCGGACATCAATGGCATTTTAGGTCAATACTCTTATTCGAACACCAGAAACTTTTGGAAAATTGTCCGCAGATTAATAAAAACTTCCAATAGTATACCTCCCCTTAGAAACAAAACAGGAAAATTAGAAATGGCAAACGATATCAAAGCTAAGATTCTAAATGATTACTTTGTTTCCATCTCGACAATCGATGATACTAACATTGACGTACCGACAGTAGAACTTTATCTGACATACCGTTCCACATGAATGACATAGACATTTTAAAATCTTTAAATATTAATAAAGCTGTGGGTAGCGACACCATTAGCCACAATATGTTGAAAATACAGCAAGTTCAGTAGTTCTCCCTCTATCCATTATATTTAGATCTTCTTTGGATACTGGTATCTTTCCAAAACAGTGGAAACAAGCTTTAGTGATGCCTTTATTTAAAAAGGGGGATAAACATGAATCTGCTAATTATAGACCAATAGCATTACTAAGCATTGTTGGTAAAGGTTTTGAACGCTTGATTGTAAAATATTTAAACAACTATTTGTTAGATAATTCATTAATATATAAATTCCAATCTGGATTCCAACCTGGTCACTCTACTGTTCATCAGATAATAGAAATTTATCACACTTTATGCGAAAATTTAGAAAAAAAAAGTTTATTTTTTTGTGATATTTCTAAAGCATTCGATCGTGTATGGCACAAGGGACTGAAAGTAGCTAGTTATGGTATATCGGGAAAGTTATTAGCCCGGTTAAGTAATTGTGTAAGTAATAGAGGAGAGCAAGCTTTTAATGACAATGATAAGTCTTCTATTAAAATTACTAATGCTGGAGTACCTCAAGGCTCAGTACTAGGCCCTTTACTTTTTATTTTATATATTGATGATATATCTGATAATCTTGAAAGCTTGTCTAAATTATTTGCTGACGAAACGTCTTTATTATGTTCTAATGCATCTCCCCAGAATATCGAAACTAAGATAAACAATGACTTGGGAAAAAATCAAAATTGGGCTGAAATTTGACTGGTTAAATTCAATCCTGCAAAAAAAACACGAAAGCTTTACTGACCTCTAACTTTGAACTTGAGTATGTTATCGATTTAAAAATTTAATAACGTAAGTGTTGATTTTGTTGACAGGCATAGGCACTTTGGAGCAATTTAGGATGAAAATTGTAAGTGGAGTACCCATATTGAAAATATTTGTATTTACCTAAATTGAAATTTATGTTGATTAGAAGAACTTTAAGTAAAATGTATAAATCGTACATTCTTCCTCTATTAGAATACGGTTGTGAGGTATGGGATGGGTGCACTCTCGGTGACGCAGACAAATTAGAAAAACTTAGCTTGAGGCTGTAATGATTATCATCGGTTTACCATCTTACTCAGGTAGAGAATCATTTTATTTTGAAACTGGTCTAGAAACTTTATCTGAACGTAGAGCTCGGCGGAAATTACAACTGTTTTACAAAATCCATAAGAATCTACTTCCCCCTACAGTTTCAGAAAACACACACGTTATTATAACCTCCGTATTGCTGGAAATTACTGTATACCTAATTCACGACTTCAATTAACAAATTTGTCTTTTCCCCTAGGCTAAACACATTAGAAGTCCTTATATATTATCTCATTGGTGATCGAAAAAGTAATATTTTACACACCAGATTAAGAAATAAATCTAGTACCTTAAACAATCACTTATTTAATGCTAATTTAATAGATTTTCAGCACTGTCAATGTGGACATCCTATCGAAGATACATATCACTTCTTTTTTACTAGTAATAATTATGCGAATCAGAGAATTAAACTTGCAGCTACTACTATACGGTACATCCTAATAGCCAAACAGACGCAGCAACTTATTCTAGATACTAACAGATTTTGAGTATATTTTCTTGCATTCCTTCATGTTTACCGACAAATCCGACTCTCTCTCTCTCTTTTCAAATCTGACTTTCTAATATTAATGAAATTTAGGCCATGTGCTTAATATTTCTCTGTGCAAACGGACTAGTGGAGACGGAGGTACCAGCAAGAACTGAGTGTAAAGGGGAAAGCTACAAGGCACGGGATGTGATGAACATTTGAATAGCAGAAAGTTGTGAATAGTGAAGAGACTATCACTGGTTCCGTTTGCTTGGAGAAGGAAAAATCACATGATCGGGGATACACTGATATTTTATTACCTAATAAATTACGGAAGTCAGCTTATATTATTATATTTTGGACTATGCTGTTATTCTAAGGATTACTCCCCCCCCCCCCACACTCCCCCCCCCCTCTCTCTCTCTCTTCTCTCTCTGTCCCTCATCACCACCTCTCTGCCTGTCAATTAAAGCCAATGTAAATATATACGTAATATGCCATCTTGATAATTTATAGTAATATATTGTAGGGAAAGGGCTTAATATAAGTTGTTAAATTTGTGCCTAGCTCCCATTGTATGTAAATTAAATATGTTTAAACCAAAAACGTCGGTGCCTTGTTGGGCCGACGTATTGTTTTCTACAAAGTCGGTGCACCGTTGGGCCGACGTATTGTTTCAATAACGTCAGTAAAACGTTGGGCCGACATCTAGATGTATAACTACAGCGTCGGACCGACATGATAACTACAGCGTCGGACCGACACCTACATTGACAATGATAACTACAGCGTCGAACCGACACCTACATTGACAATGATAACTACAGCATCGGACCGACACCTACATTGACAATGATAACTACAGCGTCGGACCGACACCTACATTGACAATGATAACTACAGCGTAGGACCGACATCTACATTGACAATGATATCTACAGCGTCGGACCGACATCTACATTGACAATGATAACTTCAGTGTCGGACCGACACTTACATTGACAATGATAACTACAGCGTCGGACCGACACCTTTGCATCTGGTCAGTCCAGTTCCGCTACAGCTATAAAAAAAATCATATATTTACTGTGAAAAAAAGAAAACTAAACAGAAAGAATAAATAATTAAAATATGAACAGTATTCCTTAGCACCAAGAGAGAAAAAAGGGTAAAATCTTATTAAAAACATATTATAAACTAAAATCCTAATCAACTAATTAACACCATGTACCACATACATCTGAACTACCTATCGAAATTGGACTGTGTGTGTGTAAAAAAATGTCATTACCCGGTAGATGTGGTTCTGCTCTTGTATTTTGCCATGTTTTTCTGTGACAGCTGTATCACATCATTTGCGTCAGAAGTTCGGCGCAGTACACATGTTGATCAACAGATGTGATACAATAATTTTTAAATAGATATTAAAAGAGAACCGAACTCCAAAGTATATTTTAAAAATTCGAAATGAGAGAATTGACTATTTTAGGTGACCCTAGTGATTTTTTTGTAGCTTGACGACTAATTTTAATTTGTTTTGTTTGTGTTTAAATGAACCAACCTTGTAGGACTAAAATGAAACTGTTTAGCAATCTTTGGGTGTTTTTTTAGTTTTGTTTTAGTTTTTTTTTACCTTCTATTTTTATCTCTTGGCCACGATTGGATTGTCAAATACAACAGTAGAGTCGTCAAAAAATAATAAATAAATCAAATATAAAAAGTCGGAACAATTTCTGTTCATCAAAAGGCATTTGATCCGTATTGAAGGTACTTTTTTGGCCCTATTTTCAGTAAAGGTAAGGGTATCACTACATCAGTCATAATTAATAGCGAAGTATAGTTTCACTTGATATTTTACTTCTCCCTTCTATATATAGATATGAAGCAATCAAAACGATTGTTCTGGCTTGGAGTAATTTACACCTGTACAGGTTTGCATAGACTTTGCGGTCCAGGATATCCATGTTACTTTTTCTATGATACTCATGCAGTTATAATTCCTTGATGGAAACCTTGAATGGTAATAGGTTTGCTTTGGAATGTAAAGGTCGCCCGAGTTCGATTCCTAGCTGCAGTCTGTTTTCTTTTTATGCCTATTTTCAATCATTCAAATTTCAAAAAACAAAAATTCCATAAAAAGCATCGTAATTTGTTTTTGTGCATTTTAAAAAGGACTTCAACATATATTTCACAATTGTATATTATGTTTTAACTGAAATTTTGGTATTTTACGTTAAATAAAGAATATTTTAGAGAAATGTTGCAGTAGTGAGGAAGCGGTAGTTTTGGGGGTGAGTGCCCCCCTCGCGTTTTTTTGTTGTGTATGCGAGTTGGGGCTGTTTTATGGCGACTTTAAGGAGCCATAAAAAGTTGCAATTAAAATGTCAAATTAACATTTTGTCTTCATTTTTTCTAGCCTACTCGTCATTACTTAATCTAAACACCATATCTTATAAATTGAAACATCTTGTATGATTCAGGAAAAAAATGGGGCAGTAAGTTTTGTTTGTAAATCAATATACATGGTGCAAAATAAGCCAAATGTCATGTACTATCACGGACTTAGATAACTAATCTAATTTCGTGGTAAACGTATATATACGCGTACTACCTAGCCTTTCTCAAGTCCGGATTTTTAAATAGGTCAATCGCAGTGTTTTGATGAAAACGACCAAAGCATGATCATATTGAATCATATATATTAACATAATATTCCATACATGAAGAGTGAAAATTAATAAATACTTCATTCAGCATTCTTTCGTTTCAAAATAAAGGCTCTCCCTACCATTTGTATTCCTATCCCGAGAAAGTGAAAGTAGAACAGGAAGTACAAATAGAAGGAACTGTCGAATTTGCTTGAGTTTGATTGGTTAATTTTGGAGAATTCAATGCGCCAATCCTATTTCCGCTGTAGGTAAAATGGCGACGCGTCCGGTGTGATAACTTTCTTCGAAATCTTCAAGTTATCAACAACAGTGAAGTATGCTGTCGACAGTGGAAAAGGAGTTTGCTCAATATGATCAGCACAATCTCTGGCAACCGATATACCAGGTAAAATGTAGTGTGTTAATGGGTCTTTCTGTATAACATTGAAATACAATACGAGACATTTTCTGTGATTGCGATTTGCCCAAGATTATGATCAATCGTCAAACGTGTTTATACATATAATATATATGCATAGGTCACCAGCTCAGTTGAACTTTTATATTGAATGAATTAAATCTGCTTTAGTGGGTCAAGTTACAAAATGTTTGACGTAAATGATGGACGATAACAAACTCATTTGTCAATTATCACCTTCGGTGGGCACACATTTTTACAGAATTATGGGCATACTGTACTGACTTTAAGTAGGATGCACTTGAACTCCAACGCATTCTCTCAAGTCAGAGAGTAAATAATTTCTAACTCAGATTAATTTATAATCCCATACAATAATTTACAGGTAAGTTATAAAGTTCCTAACTTCGTTTTAAAACTAATTACAGAAACTGACCCATTCGAATTCCCATTCACCATCTTTATTCTATACAATTGCATCTGGATGTGCTTTTAATAAATGTTGCAGATTTTAATTGCGACTGGGAAGTATATGGGTTCGATCCCCGATGGAAGCACACTGCTCCCTTTCCTGTTACAGAAGCAATGAATTTATTTAACTTCCTTAATTTGATATACAATAAGCATAGCACATCAAGTGTTTAAACATGACTATGTTTCCTGTTTACATCCCAACAATAGGTATTCATATACAGTGCAACACAAACTATTGTTTGGAAATGTTTCACAATACAAATGTTATAAGTGCTAGCATTTGTTTTGTGAAACATTTCCAAACTCATTAAACTGTAGTTCCTGATCGGTTAATAAGCAAAATAAGAACAAGCTTCCCATACTATTTTCTGTAAAGCCTTAATCATTTTTACATAAATATAAATATGAAACATTAATCTACATTTTAGCTAGATGTATAGCACCCAGACCAATTTTTGATCATCAGGCACTTTTACAGGGGTGTAAAATTCCACTCGCCCGACGCCCGGGACAACCAGTTTTAGCACTTTGGCAAGTGCAAAATCTTAGCCCACGTGACCGGACAAGTGCATTAGAATTGTATATAAAACATGTTTTTGCACGTGTTTCTCTGTTTCTCAAAATGAATAATTTACTTAACTGGCTGTAATTTAGTGAGAAACATTCAAACAATTAATAAACAAACAAATATTCACGAAAATTATCTTTATTCTTCGTTTTGAGGGGAAAATTGTTGGTTGAATATTAGTGGTCTATCCATATCAATTCAGACAATTTCTAAGACTTAAAGGCTGATGAAAATAACTGAAACTATAGCTAAAACATGAAATAGGAATAGATAAATGATATTGAATGAGTTAACTAGAGGGACATTGTTTCGGCCTGAAAAAAAACGTCTCTGTTTTTCAAACAGGAAGTTACATTGGGAACCAGATAAATCCGGGCCCAGATTTCAGGAATTAAAGAATATTTGAAAGTAAATAATTGTAAATCAAAAAAGAAAAAAAAAATAATAGAATCCATCACTACTATTTACTAATAAATAATTCATATCATAATAATTGCAAATAAGGAGAGAAAAAAGACTAAATATTTCATGAAAAAGCCTATTATTAGTCTTCAGTGTTTTATTTATAGATCTTATTACATATGCATATGTTTTTCCTGTAATTTCAGGAAGTAAAGAATGAAGCTGCTGAGCGAGCTATTGATGAAGACTTCTCTACTTTCGAAGCCAAGAAACCTGTGAACCGTAATAAAAACCGGTATCGGGATGTTAGTCCATGTAAGTGTCAGCTCAATTCGTGTTTAGGCAAGTATCCAAGAGACAGAATCTGTCAGCATTGACAGGTATTTCTTTTACCCTGGAATAATAGAATCGTTCCCCACCTTGGAGGTAAAACAGAAAAATCTTATACCGACGGGTAAGATTCTTAAATGTCTAGCCTGAGGCTTTGTCCAGGACAAGATATTTAAGAATATTACTTATAATGAAGATTTTTTTCTGTAATTCTTCTAAAATTGTGGAACAATTGTTGATCTCCCACTTATATACAAGTGGTGATTTCATGAAACTCAAATGTTGATTGCACATGTATACAGTTTCCAGCAAATCCAAAAAGTTACCTTCTGTGATCATCAGTGTTTTTGTTACTTAAATTTGACCTGTTCATTTAATGGCTTTATGAATTCGGAAAATATAGAATTACTTGTATTGAAAGTTTTCTAGCACTTTCTAGATTGGGAAACAGCCTGTATTGGGCATTAAAACTGAGCAAACAAAAATCACTGATCATGATTGTTGATGTGGCAACATGCATACTTTATGATTGAGAAATCCCCTGGTCTTTACTCTATGGAAAGACAAAACATCTCTCCCAGACCGGATGCAGGGGTCGACACTAAGACTAGGCCGCTGGTCCTGGACTAGTAGATTTCAGCAAGGACTAGTGAATTACCTAACCTAACTGGTCCTTTGGACTTGTGAAAAATTTGATCATAAAATAAGAATATTCCCTTTAAAAATTTAGAAAACTGGTTAAAATAAGATATATTGCATGATATTTGTCAAAATTTTCCTAAAACTTCAACATATTTTTATGGCAGTAGTTATTTTAAGACCCCTTCAGTCAATCAATTTTGATGTTTCATGCTGTAGATCGTGATGTTTCCTTATCAGGAAATCTTGGACCAGTTAAATTGACAAAGGACTAGTAAATAATCTATTTAACTAGTCCTGTCCTGTCATCTATCAAGTAAAAAACAGGTAATGTCTAACCTTGTGGAAGTGTTGAAATTTCCATCTGATAAGGTATAAAGGTGAATCCACTATTTATGACCAGTGTGAGATACCCTTGTTTCACTCTAGCTTAGGGGTGTCAATGTCAGTAAGGCATACACATCACATCAACGGTGTATTGTCCAGAAGCATCAACATTGCCTTTAAGAAAGGTTCATCATGTTAGTAGGAAAAGCATCATTCATCTTTTGGAGGTAAGATGGGGGATTTCAACCTTTGGGGAAAGGTTGGTTTCATATCTTGGTCATCAACATTAACCTAATGGGCTTATCATTATGACAGTATTATGATGTCAGTTAAGGCAAAGAAGAGTACATGTATTTTAACATTTCTGACATGTGTGTTAATATATATATAGATGTTTCATATGTTTGATTAATGCCTTGTTTACAGACGACCACAGTCGAATCGTTCTACACCGTGGGGACACCGACTACATTAACGCTAACCTTATAGAGGTGACGGAGGCCAGTCGACACTACATACTGGCCCAGGTAATGTTCCTGCACAAAGGATCTGTGTTTATAGACCAGTGGTTTTGATTTATGGGTGTCACTGTTTTACCTGTGTAGAGTGATCCCTGTTGATCAACCCCTGGCTACTATATTCTGTCTTTTCGTATTGCAGAGTTATCTGCACTTGTGAGCAGGTATTGATTGTTACGTCATTTGTTTGTAAGAGTAACGTCATCAATTTTTGAGAAAATGACGTAATTTTCTCATGCAAACCAATGATGTTACAATCAATACCTGCTCACAAGAGAAGATAGCTCTGCAATAAGCAAAGACGGAATAGGGGTGGCCACATTTAACCTAGGTATGGGGACCACTGTTTAAGGACCACACGTCATCTGTCACTCTTTGAGTAATCACCTGCAACCGTGTCTATTGATAATGGAAATTTGAGCATTATACTGGATTTAAGAACAAATGACATAAACATTTTCCTGACGAGTAATAAAGATATATACAGACATGGTCTTATAAACATCATTATTTGAGAGAGTACATGAAAAGAAGCCTGTTGAAAGCTCTGGCTTAACTATATTGGCGTGTCAAAACACAGCCTTTGATTTATCTGCATAAAAATCATTGCACCATTTATAAAAAAATACTGTTTTTGTTGAAAACAACACACATTTTATACAAAAGTATGCCATTCTAATTTAAGCTATAAGGATTGGACAAGGTTAAAAAATTGTTCTATTGATTCATAGACCAAAGTGCACTCTGTATACGGTGAAGCAGTTTTCAGTCTATACACTGATAGACCAATATATATCATCTAGTCCAATCCTGTGATGAATTAACCTGTGATTAACTAGGCTGTGTATCTAGTATTGATATAAATCAAGGCTAGAATCTGTTAAGTTATAGTGTATTTAGTATTGGAGTAGAGCAGAGAAAGGGCTGTTGGAAATTTAAATGTGTGGGAGCTATAGTTTCTTTCCTAATTTGATAAACTTTTATATTTACAGGGTCCATTAGAACATACATCTGGCCATTTCTGGCAGATGGTTTGGGAACACAAATCTAAGGCTGTTATAATGCTCAACAAACTAGTAGAAAACGGCTATGTAAGTATAAGAAGATAGGGGTAGTAACTCGTGTGTCTTTTCTAGACTGTGTCCTCCAAACTGTCACAGACATATTACTTTCTCTTCTCAATAACCTTGTTTTATGAAGATAATTATATGTATGCTATTTGTTGAGCCAATCATGACATTTCACATTTCTTAATCAGATGCTGGGGTAATTAAAATAATTTTACATTGAACATATGATACATATATTTTTATCACATACCTGTTGAATCTTGTTATAGTAATACAAGCAATTTTCAGACCATTAAATACAACGTTCTGTATTGCATATGTGCAATACGGAATGTTGTATTTACCTACTAGTCAGAAACACTTTTTATGGGAATCCCGTTGTCATGGCAAACAATATCAATATCTACCAAATACGGAAGGAATGTGATAAAAGCAAGACCACCCACTTGTGTTTTGCTAACGAATCAGAAAGCACTCATTTATTGCACGGACGTATATATTCGTCCGCGCAATAAACTCATGCTTTCTGATTCGTTAGAAAAACACAAGTGTGTGGTCTTGCATATTTATTGATCATACCAATATATGCGGACAAAAAGGTTTTAGAGATTTACTCCATTGTGTTAGGATCTGATACAATCAAGAGACCTCAGTAATCTTTAATACTATACCAAAATTGTGTTAATGTCTTACTGATTATTAAAAATATCCTGTAACTTTACATACAAAAAAATCTTGTTAACCTGCTTTTTAGCTCACCTGGCACGAAGTGCCAAGTGAGCTTATGCCGTGGCGCGGCGTCCGTCGTCCCGCCGTCCGTCCGTCCGTCCGTCCGTCGTCCGGCGTCAATATTTTACTTTAAACGACTTCTTTTTAATAACCGAAAGGCCTAGGGTGTCAATATTTGGCCAGAAGCAAACTTGAATGAAGGGCTACAAAGTTTGTTCAAATAAATGACCTTCACCTATTTTCAAGGTCACAGGGGTCAAATATGTCAAAAACATTAAACATCTTCTTCTCAATAACCAAAATGCCCAGGGAGATGATATTTGGCCAGTAGCATGCTTGGGTGAAGGGCTACCAAGTTTGTTCAAATGAATGACCTTCAATTATATTCAAGGTCACAGGGGTCAATTGTATTAAAAAACCTTTAAACAACTTCTTCTGAATAACCAAAATGCTCAGGGT